GTGTTGACTATCCATAATTTCTGCTTCTTTATTTTGAAGAAGTATGCTCAACATGTTTATGAGTAGTCAACACACAACTGGGTTTTTCCACTCATCTCCTTTCTTCTTCAAGCAACTCTTCCGATGCTTCCGCTCGTTGTACTCTGTTAAAGGCGATGTCCAGGCAAATCTGGGCGCATGAGTTTTTCGCCTGGAAATTGATGAGGGGTCCTAACTAAGGCACTGCCCAAGGGGCAACGCAAATTGTTTATTCACGGCTAAGAAATACGCCCCGGAAAACCCCCGCCCACGCCGTGACCGTTGGAAACGACCGCTCACTTGAACACTACGTTCAAACTCAGACCCATTCTAAGGGTGCCTTTATACCACGCCGGCAGCCGCCGCTGGCAGCCCGTAGCAGCCCTTAGCAGTCGCCAGCAGCCGCCAGCAGCCCGTAGCCGCCGCTTGCCTCCTTTGTCGAAGCGCAAATCATTAAATTCTTTGTACTTTACGTGTACGCCTACCCATACTTTTCCTCTTCCACGCCGATGTGATATAATTGAAGCAGAACATACCTAAAAATCAACAAATAGCAACCTGCAGGGAACTGGACGCATCCAAAGTCAGAAGAAATCACATTGCGAAGGAACTTTGGCGAAATATGGTTCAACCGCGAGAGGGAAACTGAGCATCGTTAGGATAAGCAATCTTCAATAACAAGACAATAACAGCAATGGACACAAGTATGATGATATATGAGATCAAATTGCGGCAAGAGGAAGGGAAAAGCGTGGGGGATGAAGGGCGTGGGCGGTTGCACTTAAAATAGTAAAAATTTAATGATTTTGCGCTTATATGACAAAAGCGGCCAGCGGCGGCTACCGGCAGCCGCCAGCAGCCCGTAGCAGCCGCCAGCAGCCCGTGGCAGCCCATAGCCGCCGCTGGCCGCCTTTGTTATAGGAGCAAAATCGTCAAAATCTTACTACTTTAAGCGCTCCTACCTACGCTTTTCATCTTCTACGCTTATTTCTTCTTATTATCGCTAATATGCAGTTCAACTCCCCACAATTCATTTGTGTTCATTGTTCTGTTCCGCACATTGTATCCTCGCGCTCACATTCCTTTGCAATCTGTCTTATTTGAAAAGATGTGAGCGATTATCAAAGCAAGAAAAACTCAACCGGCAAATGAATCTCGGCGAACTTGCGAAATAGTAGAATGCAAGTTACATATGCACCGATAGCCAAGAAAAAATTGAAGCAAAATCATACTCAAAAAACAAATTGCACACCTGCTGGAACCGGACGCATCCAATGTCAGAGCGAGTTACACCAGAAAGAACCTTCTATCAACTATGGTTCAACAGGATGACCATACGGCGAGAAGGTAATGACAACAATGGACACATATATGATATGTGGTCAAACTGCGTACTGGCTGCAGCAAAAGAAAATAGAAGATGAAGAGCGTAGACAGGAGCACTTAAAGTAATAAGATTCTGATAAGTTTGCTTATATAACGAAAGCGGCCAGCGGCGGCTAGGGGCTGCTACGGGCTGCTACGGGCTGCTGGCGGCTGCAACGGGCTGCTAGCGGCTGCTGGCGGCTGCTACCGCCTGCTACGGGCTGCCAGCGGCGGCTGCCGGCGCGGTATGAAGGCATCCTAAGGGTTACAGTCACGGTGCAGCCGCGGAGTTTCGGGGATGCTCAGCTGTGAATGAACCATTTGCGCTGCGGTTTGGGCAGTACCTTAGCTAGAATCTCCTCTTCAGTTTTCAGGCGAAAAACCCATATGCCCAGATCTGCCTGGACACTGCTTTAGTGCGTACTTTCACCTCATTTTGACGATAACATCGTTGTCGTTGAGGAAGCCCTTAATATCCAACAAACGATTTCGAGATGCAGACACATGCTTTAGTTTTCAGCAAAATCACGAATACGCAGCCCTGCTCGTTAGCCCTTGGCATCAATCCCTCAAAAAAAGAAAAGTTTGAACTAGACAAAGAACTAGACAGGAAGGGCGAATCAGCTAATCACGAATAATAGAAAGACACGGTAGCCCTAATAGCTGGGTTGCATAAGAAGCTAAAATACCGTGCAGTTCCCTAAACTACACTTGCTTAGTCACTTTGAATTCTGTTTCATCCGGCATGGTATGTACTTCAGGTAGAATTCTGACACTATTATGATGTCCAGACGACAGAAAATCAAGCAAAAGGGGGCGTTCCGGCTCTTTCTGGCGCTTTTGAGCTTTTTTTGGGCGCTCCTGGGCTTTTTTTTTCGGAGAAGTATGACGGGTCCCTTATTGTTAGCTAGGCAAACAGCGGGATCTTCAGTGAGATCGGCGATACTGATCCCCTTGTACCTACCATAATCCCGTCAAGTGGAGGTACTGTGCCAGAATTTTATTAGGATTTGGCAGCAGTCGAGGAGACTTTGAGTGGGATGCAGCAATACATAGAAATAGGAAATTTTGCGTGCTTGAATGGATAGGCACAAAACTAAAGGAGAGTTAGAACTGACAAGGAGAGGATACCTAGTCGAAAACCAATTCAAATGAAACATATATCATCGTCAAGCGCTTGAAACGCTGATTCCAAATCTATAGTTTCTAGCTGCGGAACGGTTTTGTAGAAGGAGGTATGAGGGTTGTTCCTCTCTGGGGTTGTAGCGCCCTCCAGCAGGTCTCCCTTTATCTATGAGCACTGTAGAGGAGTACCAAATGGTGGCAACTGGCCTAGTGGTAAGTGACTTGCTTGATAGGGAATGTGTCAAGAATTCAATCTCTTCGCATGCAATTTTATCGCAATTTTTGCAAAACTGAGCTTCTAAATGTTTGGAGCCCTAAAGCCTGACGTTTCTGATGATATTGATGCTAATCGAAGTTAGAAGTGTTAAAAAAAACCAAATATGGGTCTTATAATCCTTATTGTAATCGTCATACAGATTTCTTACCATTACTCCATTTTGTGTTTCTAAAATGCTCGTAAACAAGAGCCGACATCTAAAGAGCGCCTCAACCCCAGAGGGAAACACCCCTCATAACTCTTTCTACAAAACCGTTTCGCAGCTAGAAACTATAGGAATCAGCGTTTCAAGCGCTTTCAGATGATGTATGTCTTCCTTAGATTGGTGCTTTCGACTAGGTATCCTCTCCTTGTGAGAACCATTTGCGTAAACATTCAAGAATGTAGACTATACGGAAGTGATTGGGTTGCAAACTCTGCGATGCTTAGCCTTGAATATCATTCGATCTGCAATTGTATCGAATAAAGTCTCGGATCATGTCCATGAAGCAAAGCGTCAATCGATTTCTGCCAGTAAAGCACGACAAGGAGGTTCATAGTAACATGTTATAACCTGCACGCATGCCCCGCCCCACGGCGGCACTATATAAGCGCAGCCGGCGTGACGCTCGCCATTTCATTTGTGCGCGTCACTGGCGATATCGCGGAAAGCTCAGCCGGGCGAACTGTGGAGTCCGCGGAAGAGTTCGCATTCCAGCATTTGAAATCATCCCACGAAGATTAGCGCACGATAAAAGTGTTTACTTTGTTCCTTCGGTGGTGAGTTTGTATTCTCGCTTTCCTTTGTGAGAAAAGTACAGGTTTTTTTCTGTTTGACCTCGAATAATTGAGTCCTAGTAGAACTGCTCGATGAATATTTGCTAGAATTATAAACTACCTGAGATTTCTGAACACTTGTGCTAAGCCAGTGAAGTGATTGTCGCGCAGATAGTGGTCTACGATATTCCTCATGAAGTGATTTTTTCGCCAAAACTTTGAATGCATATTAGTGGAGAAACTTTGCTATAGTCAGTGCCACAGTGATTCTAACATGTCATTTGATGATGCAAAGTCAGTACTTAGTTGAATGCGCTGCGTCTTCAATGTTGTATTTCAATTGTGATAGCTAGTCGCGATCTGTAAAGTCGTGAAACTGTCACAGTCGAAATGCAAGATTCGGCATGCAATGTCTGTAACAGTTGGCCTGTCGGGAGGATGACGAGGCGATAAATTACATGATGGCCTGGCGCTTGAGAATGAACTCATTTTCATGCGTTGTTAAGCAGATTCCAAGTCGTCGCTATGCAGAAGTCTGTATCCACAACCTCCAGAATGAAATCAGTCTTCTAAAGTCAGTGAGCTAAATTAACATCCGACAAATACATTCTCAGGCATACTCGAGATGAAATGTGTACAGTCGAATCATCATATGATCATGTGTGTCATTGCACACACAGTCCACCTTTGGCGTTCCCATCCTGGATTCTTGGAGGAAACGACCGTATATGTAAATGTTTTCAATATGCTCTTAACACTTTCTTTCCTTAGTTACTGATCACCTCAGATTGATGTAATCGATAACAATAGGTAAATCTCTTGTGTTTTTGCCACTGCAAATCCAGGATGAGCATGCCAAAGGTGGATTGTGTGTGCAGTGACACATATGATCATACAAAATGACTCGACTGTATATACGCTAAATCGAGATTCGGCGTCGCTTGCAGCAGGATCAAGAGATAGGTCGCTCCAGCCAGAAAATTGCGCTCTCATCGATTAAGCTTGGAGCACCATATCTCCGCCGCTTCAAAAGCGCTTTCGATTACAAGTATTCCTATTTGTGGACTGTAGAGCACACTGAGTAAGTCGTTTACAAAGGAGCACATAATATGTAAGCGAAATGGAATTCACACAAGCCCCGGTCATTACGGCTTCAGCTATAGCCATTTTAAGTGCTTAATGCATTTAGTATACGTATTTCTGTTTCTTACAGTTCATAATGCAGGGCCTGAACTGTTCCATTTAATGCATTCCTACTTTCTCGATGTATAGGCTTGTGTTGCCATGATACTATCGAAGTAATCGTCTTTATTGTATGAAGTCTGTATCTTGCTCTCTGTACTTTATATATGTATATACAGTTCCATCTAGGATTTTCTTTTCTTTACCCGCGTTTGGTGCCTAATAATGTTCCCGACTTTATCGTATTAGTCGTATGACTTTGCGATGTTTTTCCTTTTTCAGAAAGACGTTAGGAACTAGATTGTCGAATTGGAGGAATAGGATTTGATGCATTATGGAAGAGAGTTTTCGCCAAATTCAGCTTGATGAGAAAATCGCCATTGAATCTATCTACGGCGAAGACGCTGCATTTGTGAAGAGCGCTTGGGAGGTTTGCTTCACACATTTATTTTCTAACTGAAGTTTTCGATTGTTCTTATTGTCAGGTGTGGCAGCCCCTTGATGTTACTGTTCATTTGGAGCCACATCATACTGGAAAAGAAGAAAGCGATGTTTTTGTTACTGCAGATCTGCACATAAAGTGCTCCAAGGCTTATCCACAGAGGTAGATATATATTTAGTTATCTGTTTGAGGTTTCGGCCGTTCGGCGTTTGGTTTCTAATTACTCTGTTTCCCCCATTACCGCGTCCTTTTCTGCCTAATTCATGGAGCGCGATTACACACTTCTATTTACAATAACGACGGGATCAAAGTGGGGAATCTATGCATTTTCTTTTGATTCACAGTCAACAAGCCATTATCACCTCGAGGTATAACCTAGAGCAGTGGTGAATCCATTATTGGACCCGCACCTTGATAGTGGAAGTTTTGCGCTACATGAGTAACGGGATCACAGAAAACGCGAACCACAAAAATCCAGGAATAGTTTGACCAAACTCTGAGGTTTCAAATTCTTTTCAGGCCACCAACGCTCGATATACCGAACTCAAAGGGTCTCAGTAACGTGCAGGTCTCCGATCTCTGCCACTGCCTCGAGGCCAAATGTAGGGAGCTTATAGGAAATGTAAGTTGTCTGAAGGCAACTATAACTTGCGCACGTGATTCATTTAGCCTATGGTCATGGAACTCTGCGACATAGTGAGAACTTTTCTGTCTGAAAACAATAAGCCCCCACAAGGTTCTTTTCATGACGTTATGCTGAGATTGAAGGAGACGCAAGATTTTTTGTATGAGGTGCTTGCTTTTGAATTTGAATTCGCATATTTCTCCTAACCCTTTTTAGATTGAGAAAGAAAGGAAAGAGGCACGCGCGAAAGAGGCCATTGTGGAAGAGCGTGAAAGGCAAAAGTTAGAGGCTGAGCTCAGGAACGAACAGGCTGGATATAAGGGTGATGTGAACGTGGAGAAGAGGGATGAGGTGAGTCTATCTTGCTAGCAATTCAGTGCGATCATATGATAGTTTATTCTGTCTATGCTGCGCCTTGTCACCCGTATTAGCCTAATTTTGAACTGTTTTCGAGAATGACTTCTTTCTGTCTCAATTGCAGTCATGGCGTACAAATAGAAATTGTTAGTGAAGTAGGACTTTTTAGCTTTTGAATATCCATGTTTACCGAGTATGTTTATGTTTATTTATCTATATCAGAGTCTCATGCTCTGTTCCCAGCGCAGGTCACCATCGCATAAGCTTTGAATGGGAGTGAAAGTCTAATCTTCTCTTGATTTTTGATCATGATCACTCCTCATCTTTCGAGGAACGATCTTGCCTCCCTCAACCCATATTTAGAGATATTCTGCACCTATGTTGGTCTTACTATCCATCATACCGCTTTATGTATTATCAGGAAACACGTACTTCTTTATGCGGTAACACATATTGATTTCGCATCACTCTGCTACTTCATGGTCCTTGTGAGCAGATCCTGTTCTAGTTAGGGCTCCATCCAGAGTGCCGGAACTGTGTCGGAGCAGAGCGAGCGCCGAGACAGCACCGTGCTGTCTAGGTGCCGGCACAGGGCTACCGGAGCTTTTGATAGAGATTTCGATGAATACGTTGCCAGAAGACGTCCACTGTATGCCCCGTCTTCACTGAAATGATCGCATTGATCAATTTAGCTGAGACATAGCGCCGTGACAGCAACTGCGCTGCAGCGCCGACACAGTTCAGTTTGGGAGGAGCCTAATTTGCCGCCTGCTTAAAGGCAGCATCCAGGCAGATCTGAACCTATGGGGCTTTTACGTGGTAAGTACTTTTGGGGCCCTAACTAAAGCACTGCCCAAGCGGCAGCTTAGGTAGTGCTGTAATGGCTGAGATATCTCCTTCGGAACTGGACCCCGCGACCGTGTTTCGCATGGATTCATGGCGCAAAGCGTGGATCTTGGCGCGAAACTGTCATGAATCCATGCGAGTACGATCGCGGGGTCCGGTTTCGAGGGGATTATCTCAGCCAAGCACTACCTAAGCTGCCGCTTGGGCAGTGCCTTAGTTAGGGCCCCAAAAGTACTTTCTACGTAAAAGCCCCATAGGTCCAGATCTGCCTGGACGCTGCCTTCAAAGGCACCGTCCACCCAAAATTTTGACTTCCATGTTTTTGCCCTCCCAGGGCCTTCTCATACTCCTGATTTCGAATATCAAGTTGAAAATCCGCGAAAACCACGAAAAACCTCGTTTTTAAAACCCGCAGAGCGATTTCTTCGGTACGGTGATTGGTTGGGCGCGCACGGATGGGCGGGACAAACGTCGCGCCCACTCCGAAAAGGGAGGAACCAGCGTCGCGAACGCGGCCTGAAGCGATTTCCGAAGCAATTTTCTTGGTTCGGAAGCAACTCCAGGCAGCGCGAGTTGGGCAATCATACAGTTGGGGGCACCGCATCTGCTAGGTATCATAATCTCACCAACCCCAATTTGCTTGGACGGTGCCTTTAACACGTTTCGGACTGGTGCTGCACATGGTGCAGCACGCTGATTTGAAGGATCTTTTTGACGTTTACAGAAGGTTTTCATCTAGTCCAAGATTATCACGTCAAAAGTCTAAGCTCCTACTTTTCAAATGACTCTGTAGAGCTGTGCCGCCAATATATGTCTAGGAGATATGAGGACAAATTGAACAACAGTTGAGACCAAGTGCGGCAACGCGAACGACGCGTGCGACGTCGCAACTTTTCTTTGCTTCGATTTCAAAGAGAAAAAGCGTAATCTCAATAATGATGTGTACCGTGTACAATATAGATACTTTTAATCACTCTTAGAATCTGAGTTCTTTTTTCCATCTTTCAAAAAAGCACGGAAGTCCCTCTCAACCGAAGAAGTTCAAACACTCCATATTCACTCGGAATTTTGAATATGGAGCTTATCTGACATGCTGATTACAGATGTAACCCACAGTCTACGAAATAAGGTTCCTTTGTGGGCTAACGGCTTTTTTTGCCGCGCGCGATTTCGCGGTCCGAAACGTGTTAGTTAAAATGTAGTCACTCTTGGCGTATATCAAGGGTAGTCATGAATGGCCATTCTAAGGTTGTACCTGTATTGGCCAGCGCGTGTGAATGAAAACTGCATGCCGTCGCAGCCATTATTTTGCCACCGCATACGTGGTGCCCACGGTCGCATTCGCTAGGTGCGGGGCCACCATACAGTCTGCACAACCGCGAATATACCAAAGTTGAGATGACGCGTTTCGCAGCTGCTCGCGCCATATCGGAGCATATCGTAGAACACGGGCTTTCTTGAACCTCCCCTGGCAAAGTGTCAGCGCTGTGCGCTGACCGGTCGCTCACTAAGGTAGGCGGCAGACTTACCCGGTTCAGCTGGTTCATCCGGTCTGCTCATTCGCAATTGGTCAAGTCACTGAATTGACCAACAACAAATAGTGAATCGGAGGGAAGTTGAACCGGATAGGTCTGAAGCCTACCTTAAAGGCATGTCCGGGCAAGATGGGGGTTTTGGGATTTCAGTGCATCACCGGGTTTATGCATCGAGTAATCCCATTCTCAGACAAAAGCATACTTTAGAGTAGATTTTCCGCTTAATATAGTGTGCTTGCACAGAAGATGAAATGCGGTAAATTTTGAGCGTGAAGAAGTAGCCACGCCAGTACTGCCGGCATTCTGCGCCCGCAATTGGCCGGCGTCGCAGTCGGAACTACTTATTTTCGCGCAAATTTTACCGCATTCTTCTGTGCAAGCACACTATATTAAGCGGGAAATGTACTCGACTGTAAGCGAGGCGTGGCTTGGCATAGAAAATTGTAAAAAACGCTCGTGCACCCACTTCGCAAAAAAACCGACCATCTTTGTCAGGGTTCAGCCTAGTGTTCTGACGTCTCCAAATGTGTTCGACTTCTGGAATTAGGGTTTTCCCGCTAGCTTTCCGGAATGACCTAGTATACCTGAGAACAGTAAGTTTTCTTATCACAATTAACGCATGGTCTAGACTTCGAAAACCTGAATTTCTGGGGTGCTGACAATAGGCTGCATTTGTGTTTGTTAATTAGGCATGAAATCTATAGTTTATAAGAATCATTATATTTTTGTTCCTTTTTGTGTGTTACGATCATCATAAGTTATTAGGAACAAAATAAAAAATCTGGACTAGCTGCAAGATTTTAGGAGCGAAGATGTATACTCTGCTTGCTTTAGTGTTTGCTTCAGCTGTTCATAACTGTGCTTGTCCAAGTGTTTTGAACAATTACGCTTGCGGTAAGCGTGTTGGTAGCTGCATTAATGCAGCCTAGTTCGTTGATCACTGTTACGTAAGATTCTATGTTAGAGAAGTTGCATTTATCCGCACCGCGTCCATCAAAATCCTTAACATCAAATTTGATTATCTTCTACATTGAGTGGCATATCCAATTGTTCGTACGGTAGAATATTCAACCTTGTCCACATAGATCCAGCTAAAGTTAAGCAAAGCTGCTGTCGTTACCAGTTTTATCGTGAAAGTTCAAAACTCAGTTTTTTTGTAATAAATCAATTTCAAAGATCCAAGACTGTTTTGGTGTCCGTGCCTTCAATCCAATCAGCACTGAGGCTGTGTTTTTTCAACCCATCTTCAAAATTTCCGAGATTTTCCAAACTCGTTTGCATACCATCGCGTTGAGGAAATTTGCTTTGGAAGAGGTTTTAAGAAGTCAGTTTCTAGGAAATGCAAAATAAAATTCTAGCTTGTGCTCTTCTATGAGCTAGCCATAAGCAAATTATAGTCCTTGATGAGCTCTATATGATGGTATGCTTATCTATTCGGACTGCTTGTGTTTTCCCTTTGAAAAAGAACCCAAAAGAAAATCTTTGCGTTCGAAGAATTATTGTCCGCAACTTTGTGATGGGGCCATTTTTGGACTTTTTTTGATAAAATTTTTAAGTTTTTTAGAAAGTATGTTTTCCAGAAAGCGCAATATGTGGATTGTAGTTCTTGAAGAGCTGTTAACTCATGCAATCTGATCATAATTTCATCATTGTTTTCTGTCTGAAAATGAGCGATGTAGAAGGAGGGAGACTTGTCCGCACCTTTTTGGCAGTCACTTTATCTTTCAAAATATGTCAGTTTAGCTTAGTCGAAATCGAGTGACTTGTGGAGCAAGGATCAAGCGATATTCTTTCCTCAAAGACTCATCGAAAATTAGTCATTTGATATGTTTGATAAGAAATTTCGGTCACTACCAAATCATGAATAGTGAAACAATTTGACTTTTAGGGAAGTTGCTAAAGATATTTCAGCACAAAAGGGACCAGAATCTGCATAATTGGACTAGCATCATTTATCATAATCTGATGGCGTTTTGCCTATCGCTTTCCGCGAATTTTGCTATCACCTAACAAGTAACGTTTGGAGGTTCTGAAACATACACGGTGTTGGTGAAAATTATGAATCCATATAAGAGATGCAAGCTTTTGACTAATAAATCTCGAAGTGTTTTTTCGTTCACTGTAAGTTTCGAGGAACAAAGAAGACAATATAATAAAACTAACATTCGGATCTACTCTTTGTTCATAATTGCTTTCTTTGTTCCCCAACTTTCTTGTGCAAGTGTAAGACCATTTGAGATATTTGCTATAGCCGAGATTTGTCGTGGCTGAGAAGACGGTTTTTCTGCTCGAAAAATGCTGTTAGCTTCGTTTCCTAGTACTAGTCTATTGAATTCAAGCAGAGTATGAAAGTAATGTGAAGTTTTTCCTCGAATTTTCTCGGGATAGAGTCATCTGTGAATGGCTTACGTAAATACTGGTTTTCATAGTATTTGAGGAAATTGTGTGATGGAAGGCTGTTGCGTTTTGATCATGGTTATTTCCTGACTGGGAGGACATTGTGTAGCCGATAGTTTCGCTCGCGCGGACATCTCCAGTATCGTCCCTGAGGGTGAATAGTCTATCAAGAAAATCTTGATGAAAAGTGACAGACATTTCAAGTGCAATGGGAGCAGTATCTTCCCCAAACTAGCGAACCAGTAATGTAAAGGTGCTATTTGAAAAAGCGTTCGCTTCCGGACCTGTTGCGGTTTCCCGTATGGAAGATTTTTGAATTGAGCTAACGATTCTTTATATATTAGATTGCGGCAGACTGCAGGTTGTATCCAATTTTCCTATCTCTCAGGCTGTATTTGCATAGAAAGATGAACAGTCGCTGAGGACTGAGAAACTTGGTAAAAGTTTGACCACGATAATTTACGAATGTCCAAAATCTGTGCTTCAGCTGAATTATTGACTACAAAGGCTTCCTCCTATATGTATTCACTAGCTGGCTTACCCGGCTCCGCCGTATCCGGACCAAACTTGGCACACATACACTTCGGGCCCCGGCGGGTGTCACAGTCCACTTTTCGTTATCGATCGATGTCGATTTTACCGATTTTTATCGATTTTTTGGCAGAGTTCACCTACAGGGCTAGGAGTTGGCACAGGGGGGAAGTGAGCATGCGGATTCCGAATACAATATTAGTTTTCAGAATTATCGATTGCTTTTATTGATTTTATCGATTTTTTGGCAGAGTTCACCTACAGGGCTAGGAGTTGGCACAGGGGGGAAGTGAGCATGGGGATTCCGAATACAATATTAGTTTTCAGGATCGTCCATTACTTTTATCGATTTTATCGATTTTTTTGCAAAGTTTGAGCTACGGGGCTGGGAGTTCGCACAGGGGGGGTAATCGAGCATGCAGATTACGAATACAATATTAGTTTTCAAGATCGTCCATTACTTTTATCGATTTTATCGATTTTTTGAAAATTTGAGCTAGGGGGCTGGAATTTGGCACAGGGGTGTTCGAGCATGCTGATCACCCCCCTTGGGGATGATCAGCATGCTCGATTACCCCCCTGTGCCAACTCCCAGCCCCCTAGCTCAAACTTTGCAAAAAAATCGATAAAATCGATAAAAGTAATCGATAATCCTGAAAACCAATATTGTATTCGGAATCCCCATGCTCGATTACCCCCCTGTGCCAACTCCCAGCCCCGTAGCTCAAACTTTGCAAAAAATCGATAAAATCGATAAAAGTAATCGATAATCCTGAAAACCAATATTGTATTCGGAATCCCCATGCTCGATTACCCCCCTGTGCCAACTCCCAGCCCCGTAGGAACTCAGCAAAAAAATCGATAAAAATCGATAAAATCGATATCGATCGATGACGAAAAGTAGCCTATGACACCCGCCGGGGCCCGTAGTGTATGTGTGCCAAGTTTGGTCCGGATCGGTTCAGAAATGGAATTTTCTATTCGGAACATACGTACACACATACAGACAGACATACAGACATACATACAAACAGACATTCAGCTTTATATATAAGATGACCAAATTTTCTTTTAGAACCAGTGAGCTGCTGCAGTTAAAGGCACCCCCCCCCCCCGCCCAAAATTGGGGGTAATAAGGTTCCAGCGTGCTTTAGCGGGCCATAACTAAATCATTATCTAAGTCCCAGCACAAAACTTAGATTTCGAAGCGAGAAAATTGGTCTAGAAGCCACCTGCCGATCTGTCCGTCCCGCCCCCATCAACGTGAATTGGCGTGTCTAAGATTAAGCTTTAGAGGGCAAATGATGGAAATCCGCATCATCGGAAACAGTTTCTCAACATTTCTAGCTACTTATAGTCTGATCACTTCAGTGGCCGTATTCATCAACGAAACCCGTGGGTTCCGGAACCCACTGTGTTGGTGCTTTTGATTAATATCGATTCTTCCCTGGAGTAGAATCGATATTCATGAAAAGCACTAACCCAGTGGGTTCCGGAACCCACGGGTTACGTTGATGAATACGGCCACAGGCCACCCACGTTCATGAGCGGGATTTTGGCAGGTGACTTCCGACGACTTCTTGCTTCGAGAATAACTTTTTCCAGCGGGACTTGGACAACCATTGTTGGGAGACCCTGCTTTGTTGTATCGAGCTGTAATCTTTCCATCCTAATTTCGGGTGGACGTTGCATTCAAAGTAGTAGTTCTTTACATCTCAAACGAGCGCTGTACTCCACATTGGTCATAGCACCTTATGGATCAGCTAAAATCAAATGCCCACAAACCTCGGGTTAAGCACATGTACAAATTAAGGGTTACACTCGAAAATCTGTATATGTTTGATTTATTGACGTATCACTCTTAAACATGCTTGTTTGATTTCGAATCTCCAGTTGAAAATCAGCATACCTGTGATTCGCACTTTTCTCATATTCAACGACGTCATGAATAGCATTCTTCTGTGATATATCTTACAAAGCCACATCTATGTTCTATCAAAAGTATACTTTCTCCTGAAGCAATTCAGAATTTTGAAGTCCAGTGCGTAGATTTTTACGTTTCCTTCCAGTCGGGCGCTACCCTCAGAGTCCTTGGTGATAGAAAAGTCATAGTGAGGAAGGAGATTTTGACTAGACCGCGTCATCCATATTGCTCCGAATACTACGCAACTGAACAGGTAGCTGAGATTGTCTGTTTTAAATCTGTCCATTTAACACAGGGAATATTCAGGGTTTTTCGCAGCAGTCTCTTCTCATCTCAGAATTCACTATTCAGTGTTCTGCGCGTAATAACAGTAAAGCTCCACGAAGTACCAAGGATAAAAAGTACTGTGTTTTGCTAGAGTAAGTTATTTTAACAACATCATTTGCCAGTTTTGTTTGATGTTCATCTTACTAACTGTTTATTGAAGAAAACTTGACGAGATCGAGATGCTTGGCCGGACGCTTTCCATGTCTTCGTTCGATGAAACACTTGTACCATATCATTTCGTTTATATTGAAAAAATTTCACTTTCGCCGATAAATTTTCATATCAAAATTCATGTCGCTCAGCAAGTGGAAGAGGAAGAAGTATGCTTCTCGGAATGCTATAAAACTGTTCGAAAGAAAGTGGGTTTAACGCGTCGTGCACACCAAGTACTATGTTGCTTTTTTTTAGGACTTTATGAGAAAGTTGGCCACTTCGGCGATATGCGCGTTGAAATACTTGCACGACCAAAAGCTTTCTCATGGATATATCGTACCTCATTCAGTCTGGTGCTCAAAATCCACAATACGTTTTTCTGACGCTTGTTTGAAGTAAGACTGGTTTCCATTCTCAACAGATAGGAATTTTCACATGTTTAGGAGACCTATTCTTAATCTTTGCGAATATTTCAATTACTACATAGGCGACGAGCCTTATTATAATTATGACGATGACAAAGTCAAAAGAAATCGTGATTTAAGAGATCTGGCATTGTTATTGGAAGAAGTTATGGGAAGCGTGAGTTTTGCAGCAAAATGTCTGAATCTTTTGTGAAATTACCTAATCCTTCAAACATTCGTGAGTAATCTCCTCTGCAACTCTTCACTTAGCAGAAACAGCAGTGTCAAATCTGCAGTGACTACTTTTCTCTGATCGATCAAAATCTCTATAGATGAACTTTCTTGAAGTGGAAGACTCTCCTGACCTACTAAGAGAGTTCGCAAATGCGTGCGCGGGCGCAAAGAACGTCGAAGACTTGATACATCACCAATACTTCAACAACAGTAAGTTTTATGCCAAGTATAGCTTGCAACAATAGATTTAATTTTCATTCTCAGTTGACGTTGTGCCTGATCTGTCCGTTGATTCTCCTCGTGCAGCAGTTCAGCAAAGTGATACGAGGCTTTCAAAGGAATTTATAATTCAAAGATGTATCGGGGCGGGAGCATTTGGTGAAGTGTACCAAGCAAGGTAAGGTCTATGCCGATTAGTCTTGGTGATGAATCCGAATTCGAGCGCATTTTTTGCAGAAATAAACTGGACTGGAGCAATTATGCAGTCAAATGCATAACATTGCCTAATGACCAGTTCTCAAGAACGATCACTCGAGAGGCGAAATTTTTCTCAAAATTGAATCATCCGAACATTGTGCGCTATTTCAAGTAAGTAACATCTCTGAAGAATTACTGTTTTCTTCTGAACGCGTTGTATAGCGCCTGGATTGAATCCGTGACAGTATTGCCCAAGCGAAGCGTCAGTCCTCAGTCACCAGAGAGGGAAGAATCACCGCCACATCAGAGGTTTGACAAAGATGGTTGGTTTTTTCCTCACAAAGTGAATGAATTGCTCATAACTGTAGTACTAGCCCCTCCCCCCCCCCCCCCCCCCCCCCCCCCCCGCCTTCCTTCACATTCCACTAAGGTCCGCATGCATTAACATCCCCGCCGGGGAGTGGATCGCAGCTCAAAGAAGCTTCAAATACTGAAGCTCCAAATATCCGGATTTCACGGTCTGACCAGTAAGTATTCCTAACATCCTTTACTGCGAACATATTGATCAGAAGCCAGAAGCTCTAAAAGCTGTAGTTTCCAGCTTTTTGTATGATCTTAAAGATCCCCAGCCGATTGTCTCTTTTTCAAGTCATTTTTCTTTATTGGTAGCTAACAAAAATCTTCCAAAGTTGTACTGATTATCTAACCAAACTGTGCTAAACCTGCTGCTAATGAAAGCAAATGAGTTTTTGAAATATCAGATTTTTCGATAAAACTCAACTTCAGACTTGTGATCGCAAATTTCAAGTCTCCATTATATCATTTGTTCTTATCAGCAACATGTTTAGCACTGTTGGGTTAGATGAGTATAACTTTAGAAGGTTTTTGTTACCAACGGAAGAAAAATGACTTTGAAAAAGAGTATCGGCTGCTGGGCACATCAGAGGATCATGCAAAAAGCGGAAAATGCTGCTTTCACAGATTCTCGATCCTGTTCAGTATGTTCATAGTGAAGGATGGTAGGAATGCTTATGGGTAGGTAGACAGCTTGAACTCCAGATATGTGGAGCTTCAAGATGTGAAGTTTTTTTTTCAAGCTACGATACTTTGTCCGACGGGGATTTTAATGCGTGTGGCCCTGAATCTGGTGAACAGATAAAAATGAAACATGCCATGCAGGTAATTTGCGTTCTGGGCAAGTGTCGTGCTATGGGCACAAAAATGCGCTGCATAGTGTGATACATAATATACACTTCTTTTCATAAAACTTATGTTTCGCTAGATTCGATGCTACCATCGCGACTACGAAACATAGAACGTGCGGCTGAAGGACTAGAAATCGAGGCTAGAGAATGGACGGCTAGTTGCAAAGGTGAAATCTTGATCTGTTAATTCTGTACACAACCGCGACGACAAAGCCTTTGCAGGCGAAATGTTCTCATCGTCGGAGGATGAAAGCGAAGAAGACGAAGAAAGTGAGGAAGATTCACCTCATTACGGAAACACGGATGAACAAAAAGAACAATCGAGCATTGTGAGTAAAAGCTTACAAAATTAGGTTTATGATATCCATCTTATGCTTGTGAATTGAAAAGTAGCCCTTACACTTTGCACATATAAGCTATGCAAAACCGATTGCTTGTGCCGCGCTCTGTACATCAGCATATGAGAGCGCTTGTCGCGAGAACTATAGGCCATCACTTTCGTTTGTGATTTTTTCTCACTTTTTTATTTTTTTCCAGCGTTACAGAATTTTTGTTTGAAATTGACACAAAGAATCTATAAAAATACGTCTAAAGGTGGTGTCGCTTTTTATCACCTGTGAAACGCTTATGGCACATCGGAGCCCAATCAAACGACCTGCTCGCTCATGTCCAAAGCGAGGCTTGGGCACTTAGGTTTTGCACAGCCTGTAGTATATTTATTTTTGAATGTGCCTGTCAGGACGTTTTGTTCGAGAACGAATTGAACTCTTCTGCCACCACATCTTCGCTGAACGAAAGTGCCGATGCAAGCTTTCTCAGCAGTAGTAGTGATCCAAAAACTCCCACGAAAATGGCTCCCAGCAACAGATTCAAGGTATAGGACAGTGACCCATATACTTGTATGCAATGATTTCTTTTTAGAGTACAGCTTCTGTGCGAGTATTGTATATACAGATGGAATATTGTGGAGGAGGAACGCTGAGGAAGTACATAGATAACTCGTGTTTGTTCGGCAAACCAAATGTGATCTGGAAACTTTTTGCTGAAATCCTCTGCGGGTTAGGCTACATACATCGCCAGGGCATGATCCATCGAGATATTAAGCCTGTTAGTACCATGACAGTGTCACTTATCTCTTACAATCGTTGTTTTTCAGACTAACATCATGCTTGATGATGAAGGGCATATTAAAATTGGAGATTTTGGCCTTGCAACCAAAGGGTTGCTATCATTGACATCGGAAACCTCAGCGGGAGCATTTGCCTCCGGAAGCACCGATCAAGGTTTGACGTGGTGAAGTTTGGAAGTACATGAAACGAAATGGATAACGAATTTAGCGCTTACGAAGGACATTGGAACTGAATTGTATATGGCACCGGAATTGAATAATCTGGAAGATCCAGAACCATATACCTCGAAAATAGACGTGTTCAGGTATATTCGACATGTCGTCGGGTTAGAACGAAAGCTCTTGGGTAATTCGTGTGAAAATAGATAATCGAGGTGAACTTGTGTTTATAATTGTCTCCCAAGAAAAGGTTTGCGCTTTACGAAAGTGATGCGATCGCAACCACATGTTGGCTAGCCTTGGAGAACCAAGCTTCCAAACACAGGACTTGAAAATTCGTGTTTTTGTGTTTGGTCGTAAAAATATCAGAACGCTGCTGGCTAGCCTCAGACATCTGCTAACAAATCTTCTGCGTAGAGGTGGTCCACATATCGATGTGGCGGCTTTCAGTATTTAAAAGCGCATAAACAAAAATTTGAACTGAAGCATTTTTTCGGAGGAACCCGGCTCGAGGGTAGAAATTTGGCCTAGTGCTCAACTAGAACTGTGAAATTTTTACGGTTGTCATATTAGGTTGAATCAAAAGTAATGAGAACATTCCGCTCCCTAAATCGAACTTTCCGCAAATCGTATAGAATAGGGATAGAAGAGTAAAGTGAAATGTAGTAAAAGTAGCTTTTCTTCCTCTTTTCAGCAGCCAGGTCAAAAACCGAATTGACTTTTTAGTTGCCAAAAAATTTCCAAAATTTTGAATTTTCAGCAGCCAGATCAGAAACCGAATGACTTTTTAGTTGCCAAAAATTTCCAAAATTTTGAACCCATCGTTTTTGCTTTGCTTGAGTTTAGCTAAACCTCAGAATTTTCAGTTTGCGGTTTTCAAACAAATTCGATTACATAAAAACAAAGCAGTCTTGCTTGATGCAAACCACTTTTTAGGTCTTTCAAAACTAGCATTTGGTAGTTTTTGAAATCATTTCTCCAAAAGCCTCAAATTTTCAAAAAATCGCTCAAAACAAAAACGCGTTGAATCCTACAAAATTTTTCGAACTTGGAAGCTTCGAAAGTAGTTTAATATCAATACTAGATTTTGGAAGATAATCAAGCGTTTATCGCTTCAGTATACCACAATCTAGAATTTTTTGACACGTCTGAAAAAAAAACCGTAGAATTTAAACGACAAAAGCTTTGGATTCAAAATTTCTGCAAATATTTCAGCAATCACGAAATGATTTGGTTGAAATATATAACTATCGGAAAGAGGAAAAAAAGCCGTATCGGACATTAGAGCACTTGCATGCATACATTCTACCTAATTTGAGAGTAGGTCTAACAAGAGAAGCGATGTTCTCATTACTTTTGACTCACCCTAGTACTGAGTGCTATTAGTTAGTCCCTCTTATTAGTTTCTTGAGCTTACAATTTTGCGTTTTCATGCGATATTGAAGCCACCAGTTATATATGGCTTGATGCCTTGTAAAGACCACTAGCAGCGGCCTTTAGTGTTTTTTACAACCAAACTAAAGATTACAAAGGTTAAAGGCCCGTTCTCAGAAACATGGTTTTTCAGGTCTTCACAGCTGTTGCATCACATTTGTGTTATAAAACGCAAACCTTCTTTTTCAACACAAAAACAATTTAGGTTCAAAATTTGAAAAGTTATTGCACTTTAGTCAATTTACGCAAGAACTTCCGTTCCAAAAATCAGCTGACACACATGGCTAAAGCTGGTTTACTAGCCGGCGTCTGTTGTGAGATTTGGATACTGCTCCGGATTCCCCAACACAGCTCTTTCTAAATGTCATTAGTCAATAATACCCCCAAAACATTGCAAGATGTTCCAGCACTGGTATTGTATTTTTTGAAATGTGCCACCGCCCGATGCGGACGATTATGGAGAGACATTCTATAATTAACGAACTGAAAAAGCTGCTACTCTTTCCGGATGATTTTGGCAATGGATTCAGCACGTCACAGGTATGTTGTGTACAGTTCAAAAAAAGCTAACCTTCCTCATTTTCTAAGGCAAAGCATGTGCGTGAGCTTATCCGAAAAATGCTGAACCCTGAAGCATCACGGCGACCTACCGTTGAAGAAATCCTGCGTGACAGTCTTGTGCCTCCAGTTGACTATGAAGATAAGCAGTTTAAGGTAACAAACTATGGTTCCTCACTGGAATACCAGGCATGCCAAGACGACCCTCTGCAGTAGGCAGGTTGTTCAAGTTCAACAGCTATTATTCCAGGGCGTTTTCAACCAGTCCGTGAAAAGTCGAAACAGGACCTACTATTGGATGCTGGATACACTCACAAAAGAGGAGCAGCCTCCAGCGAGAGCATTTTGTTTTGACCAAGACATTTGTACGGTAAAGGAGCTTTTTTGCAAAATGTTGTTATTCTTTAGTACTGAGACTATGACGATGTTTCCAGGAGAAATTTCTGGGAGCCAAAGACGGTTACATCGAACGTCTTCGAGATGAATTGTCATCAATACTAAGAAAGCACGCGTTTGTGCCGTTTTATACACATCTCCTTGTGCCAAGGACATACAACACCGTACAATCCTGGGAAGCAATGTATACCGTACCAGTTGTGATGCTCGACTCATTTGGGAACACAGTTATGCTTCCGGTAAGCGTTGCACCATCTCGTCGAGTATCGCCTTCGCGGACTTCTGGTCTTCGTACGATATGCATAGCGTGCGCGAAAGGACCAGTAGCCCGTGGAGTCGGCGGCTATCGGGGTCCGTTCCTTTGCTCTCCCCAAGCAACGGCGGTCATGCTTGTAAACTGACATCCGTTTCATAGGTAGGCGCCAGACTTATCCGGTTCAACTTGTTCATGAACCGCATGAGCGGGTTTACTCATTCGCTATCGGTCAGTTCATTGATTTGACCAGTAGCGAATAGGTGAACCGCACGGACCGATTACTGGATAAGTCTGGTGCCTACGATAGAAAGTATAACAATTTCAGATTGATCTTCGTCTCAACTTCGTACGATACTGTGCTAGAAACGCCATCAACCGTATGAAGCGGTATTCTTTCGAAAGGGTGTACACGGCCGGTAGAGAAGGAGGTGAGCTTTTTTTCTGGCGCATTATCTGCTGATAATTTTGCTTCAGAAAGCGTCCATCCGCTTGAGGCCTGGGATTGCTCTATTGATAGCATAGGGCTAGAAACTAGTGCCAGCACACTCACGGCTGATCTGCTTACCCTTGTTACAGAAATTGCATCAAAAGTGTTGAGCGAATACCGATGCAGTCTAAGGTGATCTAACTTTGTGGTCCTTTCAGATTTACCCATCAATTTGTTCTAGAATCGGTCACATGAGTCTCATTAGCGCCGCTATGAAGCACGTAGGCATTAAATCTGACGCGAAGAAAAAAGTCTTGTTAACGATACAACGCAATGTTACACCATGTATGTCCCACCACATGGGTCAATTTGCAATGTTTCATGACTCTGTTTAGATGGAGCCAACATGGCAAAAATCCTGCAAGAAGTAGGCGAACTTGTCGGAGACACGCCTGCCCGGCAGTTGTTTGCTATGTTGCCGAAGGAATCATCGTTGTCCGTCTTCAAGGCTCGTCTGCAAATTTTCTTTGCAAATTGCAAATCTGCAAAAATTCATCAACGTTCCAGGAGAAATGTAAAAGCCTTTTGCGTTCTAGAGATGAAGAAATTAGGGAATGTGCCAAATCAGCTGTATCAGACTTGCAAAATGCCATGGATCTGCTTAGCCATGGTACTTCTCAGTAAAAGAAGATCATATTTTAAGTTTCTATGTTGAGGTCTATTTAGCAGCGAAGCTCGATACTATTGACATATTCTTCGACGCCTCGGTTGTATACAACCCGTCGACTTTTTCCGACGGAATAGTATTTGTTCTTTCATGCGCCTTGCCATGTAGAAAACGTGCTGGAACTATGGATATAACAGTCTTATTTGGAGGTAATGGATGTTATCCAACTTCATATGCCATCACTACGGTTCAGGTCGTTATGATAGCCTACTTAAAAATGAGCTTCACCCGCAGGATATACGTCCTGCACACTCACTGTGTCTCGTAGGAATGTCTGTTTGGCTACATGCTCTAGCTGAAATCAAGCGAAAATACTCTAATGGTGGGTTCATTCGATCAGCATGAAACTTATAAGTTGTTTTCTTTTTAGAAAAGCTTAGTATTTGTGAAGCTCTCGTATGTTCGTATTCGCTACCGCTATTGGCGGAGAAATTTGAACTAGCAAAACTGCTTCGTATATCGGGTGTCAGTACAGACATAATTCATGAAGCTGTCAATGGAGTTCCGGACATCCTGGTTGGTACTCAGTTTTAATTCGCTGCTTTTAGAATAGCACTATTTAGGATCACTGCCTGCGTAGTAATATTGAAAATCTACTAGTTGTCTTTGCCAAGGACGAAGTCTTGTTGATGAGCAGCGGCGTGGACCAAGGGAAAGTGTGTGAAGTGACTGAGTAAATTTAGAATCGGTTGCATTATGACTGTTTTTAGATGACGTTTGCCGCTGTAGTGGAGCGTCTCAAGAAGAAATCTGATGAAATCGCACCTGTAAAGTATGTGTCTTCGTCTTTCTATAATTTCTATAGTAAGCTGCTCCACATCATAGGAACGATACTGTAGCACCTGCTACTTTTGCGAACTGTGCCGTTGTGTACGCCATATTGGAGCGTCCAGCGGCAAATACGAAAAAGAAGATCGAGGTATCTTTTCAGTCGCATTTTTCGATTGTGCGAATGCATTCGGTTTTTAGAACCAGATTCGTATTGCACTGGTTAACAAGTTCGCGCAGTTTTCGTCCAGCGAAAAGATTGTAATTTTGGTTACTTCATTGCCAGTCGAAGTGATCAAAGCCGTGACGTCATCCTTGAACAGAAGAATGACTATTGAAGAGGTGAGATTCTTAAAGGTGCATATAATTACAAAAGTGCCCGAGGATCGAAGGAAAAAAAACTGTGATTGTATACTGTCTAGCTTTTTCTATGCTGCGACAGGTTTTTTATAGGAACTCTTTATCGAGCCTTACGTTTCGGTGAAAAACACCGTCTTTAGAGGCCTAAAAGTGATCCAATCATTTCTAATGGGTTTTCAAATCAGTGGGTTTCCAAAAGATGGGTTATCAGTGGCGTATCGAAGGGGAGGCGCTGGAGGAGGGGGGCTTCCTTTAAGAATGGGTCGCGAAATTTTTGAAAGTTCCAAGAGTTATGAAATTGCGCAAGTGACTTGTTAGTACTTGTAAATAATTGGAATAACTTTTAGAATTTTTTAAAAATTCAATTTAGCCGTATAAGATAAATTTTTCGGCTGGCGCCACGACTCCTTTTTCCAAGATTTCGAGTTTATGGGCCGCGAAAATTCTGAAAAATATAGCAAAATCTTTTTCGGAGTGCGCCAGGCACTTTCATCAGAAAAAATTCCCCCTCCCCCCCCCCCTCGCAAACGGAAATCCTGGGTACCCGCTGATTCTCATGTGCTTGCGAAATGCAAAGTTTAGCCGAGCAAGTATTTATGATATGCACCCGCTCGCGCTATTGGCGTGTTTCTCTCTGCAGGTTCCCAATCAGGCTTGAGTTCGATGTAGGGAAGATTGTTAAACGCGAAATGCGGTTGAGCCCTTTTTACCTTTTGTTGCAGGCTATCAGTTCTTGAGAGTTCGGGTGGCTGAGCATTCCTGGTGGATGCTTGTTTTTGATTTGGAAACTTAGGCTGATTTGTTTATCTGCTCACCAATGGTTACAGGTTAATCTCGCATTCGACGGACTCTCTAGAAGTAGTGGTAAATCTAAGGAGGACCTAGAGTGTCTCTACGAACACGTGAAGAAAATATTCACCTATGATCAGAGACCAGCAATCATAATATATCGACATCAAGACGGGTTTTCGCAAGTTCTCGCGTGATGCATAGTATTGGGTAATGATGTTGACGAATTGTTTTTCAGATTTGTTTTTTTATTCTCTATCTTGGTCTTGTTGATTGTTTGACCAAAATGTCTATATGATCCTTTCTCGGTGATTTATCCCATCTTTGGCACTTGCACAACGACCAAATCCTCAAACACTTCCGTGATTTTTGTGACGGGAATACCATGTTATTATGACTTTCGTGTACGGATCTCCTTATATCTGGTAAACGAGCTAGTTTGGCGGTGTAATATTGTTGTCTCTAGTTTGGCGGTGTAATATTGTTGTCTGTTTTGCATGATAAATTCTGTCCATAATGACTTGTTCTGAGAATATATGTCTTTCACATCTCTATGAGTTTATGTTGGGGACGTATTTACTAGGGTTTGCGGATTTTGGTGCAAAAACTCAAGTCGTTGCAGGAACGTAGTTCAGCATAAACTTGCGACGTGACTATTCAGCAGATTTGCGAGTTATGCTCTTATGATATTATTTCAATCGTGCTTGCTCATGGCGCTTATGGTCACAAACTGCATGCTACTGTTCAAAGGACAGATGATCATTATTTCCATTTAAGTTGCGTTACGCTGCCCCAAAAATGTACTCTGAAGAACGCAAATGTAAGAAACGGCCCTCTGGCTATGGCGGTGCGTGCCTTTAGCTGTGAGAGGGGAAATAGGGGCGGGACTAACCTTATGGTTAAGCATCCTAATTTGCGGTACAGTTCTTTTGCTGTCGGATTCATAAGCCTCCACTTTTGAATGATGTGGTGGACAAAGTGTCACTTTGTGTGGTTACAGTGTCTGATTTCGCGCAGTAGTGAGAGAAAGCGAAACCCCAGGTTTAAACCATGGGTGTCTGAGCTTCTTAACGGAAACTAGGCTCGACTAGGAGCCCAAGATGCAGCTCATGTGATCTGTTCGTAGTCGAGAAATTCAACTATGATCTCTTGTTAAGTACGTTTTTTTCACAGGTACTGATTGGTGTGCTCGAAGGGAATACGCTCTGGGCGAAAGTTAAGCGGCTCGATGTTGCACTGCGTAGATCGTCATCGTTCCTCGCTATGGTCAGAGCTCGGCACGAGGTGGCTAGATGAAAATGGAAAAAACGAAGTCCTCCTTGACTTTTGGGAATTTTTACGAAGTCCCCTTTGACCCTCAACCAAATTTCCTCTAAAAACCTGAAAAATTCCCCAAAATCCCCCAAAAAACGAAACGTCGACTGAAAGAAAAGGTCGCCGTCGCCAATTTTCCGTGTCTCTTCGGTCACAAAAACGAAACCCCCTTTGCTTTTCGTCCCAAAAACGATATCCAGCTTGCTTGTAAGCCACCTCGTGCCGAGTCCTGGCTATGGTTTCAAAATGAATTAAGCAACCTCAAAGACTCCCGCTTCTCTAGTCCATGTTAGAAATCCCACTCAAACTTTCAATTATGAAAATAACATTTGATTAGTTGACCCAAAATTTGGAATTCTGAGAACTTGCTAAAACAGTGAGTTTATTTATATGCTGATTTCGAATATGATACTCATGTTACGTGTTAGGGCCCTTTTGCCGTGTTTACAGTAGGTATACGATGATAGGCCAATTCTCAGAATTCGTAAATCCCGTGGGGAATGGAATGAGGATAATCTGGCATACCGTTTACGCATATCATGTTCGTTTGATCGGTTTCCATTTCGTGCCGTATGCGACATTACCAACTTCTATCAAAACCATTCATTAAAGTCTTTCGGCAAACAATTACTATTATTACTCCAACTCGACTACGAACTTCCCCCCTCATAAAATGCTAATATCATCTGCCTTCATTATATGTAGAACGTTTATGGGCGAGGAGTTATGTGCGTTGGGAGCGAAAATTTGATTGCGCTGGATAAAATGAGTTGCCAGATTCTTACTAGCCCTCAAACAATGCAACCATGAGTGATATATATATATTTTTTTATAATTTATTTTAGAGTATTGTTAAAGTGCCCTGGTGATTACCACTGCCCCATTGACGAGTTAGAAAAGTATTACTTTTATTTTTGTCCTACTTGCACAATCAACTTTTTCCTCCAGTAAGCGCTCATAACTTCTCGTCCATAAACGCTCTGCAGATAAGGAAGGCAGATTCGGAATCAGCATTTTGTGCCCTTTAATATGGTATACATCCCATCTAAAAAGGCCACTTCGACTAAACATGCTTCCCTTGTAAACATTGCTAGACAGGCGAGACGCAAAGTCGCGCTTTCGCCGGGGTCATCACAAAACTCGAATTCAGCGTCTGTGTCTTGAACAAATTAAAAACAAAGTGCTTGACTTACGAGCCCTTTAAAGCTAACGCTTGCTGCGTTTGGCGCTTTTTGCTGGAAAAGTGACTAAATTACAAATTTGCTGTTACTTATCTTTTCAATGGCTTTGAACCTTCTACATATTTGTCACAAATCTATTTCACGTATAATTTAGGTTCCATCGTAAGTCAAACGAACGTTTCGCCATTTGTCAAGAAAATGATTAACATTGATTCTTCTAAAGTATAAATTGTGATTTTTGGTGACGCGGTAGCAGTTGGTAAGATTAGAAATCGTTGGTCCACTTTTAGCATAAATTTAACAACAGTTGAGAAATAAGCTTAGCACTTGCACAGGGGCTTCATGACATGTCAGAACCATCTTTTTTGTATGAGTCTTCTGTATTTTATCGATAATTCTTTAGACAAGTGCTGCCTTCAATAGCCTTACTTCAAGCAGCAATTTTTATACCTCTTCTAGATGTAACATTAGTGTAACATGAGTTTTTCTACACTGAAAGCTGTTTAGTGATTTTCAGCTATTCTCCTGATGAGCTGAAATGTCGGAGAAAATTTTAAAAAAATACCCTAGCAACACAAGTTTCATTAATTATCGAAGACATGTCAAAGCATTGGAGTACATGCAAATTTCTGTGGAGTAAACTTACCGGTCTTTTGACTGGACGTCACTATACATTTGGTCTGGGGAAAGAGGCACAATCAACTAAAATGTGTGCGTATAACGAAGAAGCACTGAAAATAAAACGTAGCAGCATTAAGCTTGGTACTCCAAGTTTTTGTTGTAAGGCAAGTTGGTTTTGGTCGAAGGGACTTGAAAACAATTCGTTTTGTGAATGTCAGCGACAAGAGCATTGCACCCTGTTCTATTTAGCAGTCTGTTTTTCCAAGTCCCACACTAGTGAGAAAATTTTATAAGTAGGTTTTTTATCGCACATTGAGACCTAACCTCGATGATCTTCCCAGTCAATGGTTTGCGCGCCTTTTTGCCCGACGGGTTTTGTACCAGAAATTTCTTTATCGACAAGGAGGAACTATGAACTTTGTACTTTTCTGAAGCTCTTGCGTCGTCACGGCCTAGCTGCCTCTCATAATCTCGAAAAGTAGTTCTGTCTGTGGAAAGTGGCACGCACAAAATTCCATTCTTCCTCTTCGTTGAGAGGAATCAAAAAGAGTTTTTATAAAGTTTCCATAAGTTCTTCACCATCATTCACCTAGTCTCAACTTCTTCAACTCGATTAAGTGTTCATGAAAGTACTGAAGTTATTACTAAATTTGATTCCTTGACATACTTCAAAGTGCCTTTTGTATGTTCTTTGTATGTCTCCTAGTAAATTCTTCACTGGTAATGATATGAACTTTAAATGAACTGAAGACTGAACCTTACTTGAATTCATCTAGATAAGATTTGAGACCCCCGACAAGTCTGTTTTTGAGAACTGAGTTCTACAGTGACACTCGGAAAGGGATAGCGAACAATACGTCGTTTAATTTGTGGAAAGAATGACATAAGTAAAAATTGAGCCCATCGCTTATGTGAAGACTTTTCTAATTCAAATCACAGTCTATACTTTGAACAAATAACAGTCACACTTCAACTTCGTTTTTGTTCTACACTAACTCTTTCGTATTTCAAAATAGTACATGTATGGAGCGTCTGTTTCATAGCTAGAATAACACTTTCAACTCCACTCTCTTCAGATATGCGCCTCGTTCATGATGGAAGAGAACATCGCGCAGTCATGACACGATAAATCAAGGCATGGAAGTGAGTTGCTCTACTTCTCAATCTCCTACCTGGTGCTGAGAATAAATTTTCCTAATTTCGCGTTAGATGTTAGACCATTAATGTCATCGTCAGGCGAATAGTGCCCTTTGAATCGAGCTTTTTCACAGTACGAATTTATGGACAAAACCACAATATCACTTTGTTATAGTCTCAGAAGTGGGATGGGATCACTCTTCGAACTCTACTTGCCTTTGGAAGATGAAAAACAAGAATTACCAAAGTTTCGTCAATTTCCAAGATAGCTACAAATAGGTCTTACAAGGAAACGATACTCGGTGTCCGTGGCTTTTTGAGATGAGTTGTACACCATTAAACTCGTCTCGGAACGCTGATTCCGAATCTGGAATCCGTTTCTGCTAATCGCTTGAAAGATGTTGTAAAGGATTGTGCGGGCTTTGTCTGTCTACTGAAATATGTTCAACGCGGCAACAGTGACGGTGCGGTGTGGTCTAGTGATTAGCGCAATAGGCTCATGATTTGATGCGGGTGTAGGTTCGAATCCTTACGTGTTTTTCAGTTTTGCGTTGCCTCAATAAACCTTTTTTCGCATCTTCAAGCTAACTGAACGCCCATACTCTTCAAAAAATGTGGAAATTTGGAAAGTTACTATATGCGTTAAAATGTATCCAACGACCATAATTCGAGTGAATCTCGATCAACTTTAACTGAGGTAGTCAAAATAAAAAAACACAAAAGGATTTGAACCTACACCTGTATCAAGTTATGAGGCTATCACACTAATCACTAGACAATAACATGGCGCCGGTAGAGGCCGTTCTGCTGATCATACCCTTGGGCGGATAAAGTTAGCTCGAAATTCCTCCATAACTTCCTTCAGAGAAACGACTAGCAGAAACGGAAGCCAGATTCGGAATCAGCGTTCGAAGGCGAGTGTAATGGTATACATTTCGTCTCAAAAAGCCACGGACATTGAGTATCGTTCCGTTGTTAGGCATTATTGAAAGGGATATGACTCTTACAGACAATCAGGTTCGCAAGGGCTGATATAGATATAATATGATAGATATAGTAAAGATATGATATAGTAAAATTTGAAGGAAATCTGTAAAGTGCGAACCGAGATATAGCCTTTTTGGAAGTGTCTCTATAATTATGTCCGGCACTGTATAGCAAAGTTTCAGACAGATTCATTGACAAGAACGAAAATTACAACGATTTCTAGACTGGTTTTATAATTATGTCCAACAGATACTTTTGAGTACAATTAGAA